AATAATTAGATTTATAACTTTGCATTGCATTGATCTAAGAAATAATGGCTAGACAAAAGAATGAAAAAACTAACAATTCGTAACAAAATAAAAATTATTTATTTTTGAAATTAAATCTATAATTAATTTGAAAAGAAAGAAACACTTAAAAAAACTCTTTTCCATAATGTGTTGCTTAAGCACCTGAAAAAGATGCATTATCTAAAAGAAATAAATAGCGATTGTAAACATATATTATGGTATAGGCAAGGATCATAGCATCAAATTGAGTAAATTAAATAAACTCTTCAGACTTATAAGAAAGTTTCCTCAACATAGAGATATATATGTACGTAGCTGTTTTTATTGGAACATACTTTCGTGAGAAAACCAAGTACTAGATCCGTAATAAGTAAACTTTATCAGAAAGAAGAGCTCAACAAAAGCCATTACCACTCCTAGAAAGCATCATTCCATCGAATTCCTTTTCACATAAAACTGTACTAAAAATAATGTGAAATAAACAAAGAGTAGATAGGTATGTCTTAGGCAACTACAATGGAAATAATTTTTTCTCGTTCCAAATACTCGGATTCCGATAAATTGACCCCAAAATAAAAGCATCCTTCTCGTCGTCTCTTATTTCTCTTCCAATGATGGATTCCGTTACACATGTGATATGTTAATTGAACTTGTATTTTTCTACTAAACTTCAACGAGATGAAGACTAAGATTTATTTAGTCTCATCTTTGCTACCTGATAATGTTTCGGAATTTAACAATTATGATTAAACATTTATCTATTTCATCATAGTATATGAATAGAATCAAATGCATAAACAGGGGAAAATACAATGAATAAATATATAACGCTACTTAAGGCGTCTCAGGGGGATTAATTTTGACCCGAGGGCTGAAAATATATATAAAAAAATTCAGATATAGTTATTTATAATTAAAATTAAATAATTCGAACCTTTTACACATTATTTATAAAGGAATGAGGTTTCAAAAGGTACAAAATGTGTTTAAAATGTAATAACAATTTAAAATATTTTAAGCATATGTAAATAAGAAACATTTCTGTAATAAATATTAAGTAATGTTTGCGTTGTGCATGTTATTTTCCAAAATAGTAGCCTTATTAGATGTATAAAACTTGATAGAATTATGAAATGTGTCATACTCTTTAAGCCCAACCTAATTTTAGTATTAGATATCTTTTGTACCTCAAAATATTTGAAAAAAATTGAAATTAAAAAAAAAAAAAAAAGTTTAAAAATATATATTTTTTATTTTTTAAAAAAATATAATTCATTATTCTATTTATATAAAACTAGTTATAGTGTAATAAGGATACATTTAACTTTATAAATCAATTCATTGCTAGTAATTAGAGCTACTATTTTAGAAAACATCATGCGCAACGTAAAAACTTAATTAATATTTTACAGAAATGTTTCTTATTTTAATATGCTTATAACTTTTAAAATTATGATTATATTTTAAACATTTAACACTTTTTGAAGCCTCATTCCTCGATAAATAATGAGTAAGATATTCGAGAATTACTTAATTTTAATGTCAAAGAATTATATATATTTGAAAATTGTTTATATTTTCAGCCTTTGAGACAAAGTTAACACCCCTGAAACTCCTCTACTTAATTTCCATAGGAAGAGAAAGTATAAAAAGTAAAATATACATAGCATCCATTACAAAATGAATTAAATTTTAAGGCATTTTCTCCAGGAAATAAGTACTGGTTTATATTATTTAATTTAGCTGTGAAGCAGCGTGCCTACCTCGCAAGCCTAAGGTTGCGGATTCGGTCCCGGCTGGAGTCGATAGATTTTCTGGATGAGAAAATCGTAGACACGTATGTCAAACGATTATGTGGCATGTAAAAGATCCCTTGAGAATCAATTTGTCTCTCGTACTATCGACAAAATTAAATCATGGCAATATACAGCCAGCATCCAACAAGAGTTTGAGTGAGTGGATATTAACATCGCTCTGTTCAGCCACACGAGGACTTTTGGTGACGGACCACGTAATTTTGAACCATGGTCAAGTGACGTGGACGACACCTGAGCTGGCACCCCCTCTCCTAACTACTATACCACACCAACGGGCGGACGTTTCAGCTCTCGACAGATTTAACGTGCATCGCTGCCTTACACGGCGGGTCTTTAGTGGTACTGGGCTCGAACTCATGACATGCCTGCCATGATCCGATACCTTGACCACCCCTCAACGAGAGTTTGAATTGAATATAATTCAAATGTCACAATTTAGTAGCAGAAGCCGCCGCTAGATGGTGCCACTAATGAAATGGCTTCCACGCTTGGGGGACTTGCCGTGTCTGCAAATGTCTTAGCTACCAAAATGCAGCCCATTTGAAACAAAAAAAAATCAAAGAAAAAGAGAGGAGGAATAGTATGAATAGATTAATAATGATGAAGTTAATCTAATTTTATCATTATTAAAAGGACTTGGTACCCTTTGAACTACTTTCTTCCTTTATGTATTTAAAAATTGTATTTTAGCATTTTATGTAACGTTTCTATTCAAGAAAATGATACGAGATGAAATTTTTCACATATTATTCACACAATTTTAAAAATTTAAATTTTTTGAAGAAAATTTGGAAAATTTTAAAATCCTACTCCTTTTGTAATTATTAATTTTTTGACCTAAAATTTTTTTCTAATATTCTTATAGATGTTATAAATAACTTTAGGGATCGATTTTACAATAACTTCATTCGTTTCTAAGAAGAAAAATAAAATGTTGATATGCATGCTAAAAATCAACGACTAAAGCCAATATCTCTTACATTTAAATTTTTTTTAAAAAAAAAGTATTCAGTTTACAGCAAAATGGATCCTTAACGTTGTTACATTCTTTATATGCAATACACAGGAAAAAAATGGAAGTGATTGGTAAATAGTTGTGGAAGGAGTAGCATTTTGAATGCACTAATGTTTCGAAAAACACAAAAGAAGAAAAACCACTTTAAAGTTTGTAATTCTGAAAAAATAATTATAATAAGCTTAAATAAACTTAAAATACCACTTTAAGATATAAGTTATATATTTTTCTTTAAAGTAATTGCATTTTCGCATTTATTCAACTCATCCATTTTTATAAATGATAAATTTTATAAGAAGGTGTTAATTGCACAATAAAAATTCAAGAAAAATGTTAAAAATTTTTTTTCCCGTCACGACAAAGTTCAGTTTTTTTCTTCACATTGAAGTATTACATTTGTATGAAAAACATATCAGGAATAAGAACTGAAATTATGAAATACAAAATGCCTTAATTCAAAAATTTTACATGCATGCATTTCACAAAGAAGAAAAATTACATTATTATATTTCCTAGGGAATATTCTGCTTTATATATTACACATTCTTTTTTTATAGTTATTATTTCTCTTTATAAAATAGATTTTTTTATAGTAACGCTTTTTTTAGTTCTTTTTCTAAAAAGGGGGCGTGACCGAATTGCCTTATTTGTTTTCAAATGAAGTTTTATTCTACTTCTAACTTTCCGATTTGCACAAGTGATATATCAATCGAAAGATAATAATGCAAAGACTAAGATTAAATAAAAATTTAAAAAAAAACGATTGGTTTGTCATTTTTGGAATACCAAGTATAACCTTAATCTTTGTTTTTTATGTCTTATCATATCTGTAATAAATAAGGTGACGCTCAAGGTGAGAAACTAAAGTAAACTGGAATGAATGAGTATTAACGTTCCATCTCAGCTACACGAGGACGACACCTGAGCTGGCACCCCACTTTCCTAACTACCACACCACAGACGCTTGAGCCCTCGACAGATTTTCTGTACATCGCTCCCCTACAAGGCGGGTCTTCAATGGTACTGGGCTAGAGCTCGAGACTTGCCAGCCACGATCTGATAATTATACCACTATGCTACCGAAGCCACAAAGTAAATTGGAATAGATGTTGCATATTTCTTTTCATTTTTTCACCATCATTTCTGAATACTAAGATATGAAATTTATTTTACACTGTTTAAGGATATGACAATGGTATGTGATTTTCCTTAATGCTCCCACTTAAGCTCAAGGACTAATATGTTCAGATGCATATACAAGTTTTATTAAGGTATTTTTAAAATTAGGGCTCAAGTTAGCGCTATATATATAGTATTATTACTTTAGTTCTTACTTATATGTATTATTTACTTATATTTACTTACGGTGTCCTTCTTTTTAAATTAAAATAAGTATACAAAGCATTAACATCATATATACATATTTTGAAATCCAAATTTTGAATCCTATTTAGAATTTTTTTATAGTATGCTTTTCAAAAATTAGTAGAATTTATTTCAAATTTTTTACCAGATGCCAAACTGTTTTAAAACTTCAATTTAACTATAGTTTAAACAGCTAAAAGCTAGCATGCAATATAGATAGAATTATTTACGATAAATATTTCTTTTGAAAAGTAGTGAATGTATCAGATTCTATACGTAAAGAGTTAAACGTTAATATTATCAAATTTCTTCATGAACTAATTCTGATTTAGTAGTACTTAAGAAAACTTAACGTGTATAGTATTTAAATATATTTATAATGCTTAGCTTCAAAATTAAATTTTTAACTTCAAAATGACTTTAGAGTTAAAAATCAATAAAAACACACATGATTTTAAAGAAATACTATTATTCAATCCCTACTATTAGTTCACACTCTCCCTATATATATATATATATATATATATATATATATATATATATATATATATATATATATATATATATATATATATATATCTTGTTCAAATTTTCTGTAGTTAATAAAATACTCTTTGTTCATCCACTCAAGTTCAAATACAATTTTTTAAACTTGTAGTGGATGACACTTGATGTTAATATAATATTTCAAATATTATTTCATTAATTAAATTAAAAATGAATAAATAGTAATAAACAAAAATAATAGTCCAACAGCATATATAGAAAGGAAAATCGTTCGTTGCTCAACGAATAGCGCGCGCGCGCGCGTGTTGGACTTCTAATCCAAAGGTCGTGGGTTTGAATCCCACCTGGGCAGGCCTAATTTCTGAGAATGTGATTTCTTTTAGCTATACTATTCTATTGGAATAATTAAATTTAATTAATGAATAATTAGTAGTAAACAAAAATAATAGTCCAACATCATGTACAGAAAGGGAAATGGAAAATTGCAAGAAAAATTGCTTTCTATTTTGCTAAATATTGTGATCCTGTCATATGTATATGCATATTTATATGAATTGTAATTATTTAATAAAAAGTAACTCAAATAAAATTTTTCTTTGTTGACCTAAGTAGGAATTTACTTAAGTTTTTTAATTTTATTTTACTAGTTTCTTCTTAAGTTTATATAGATCAACAAAATGTTGTTAATAACACTTTATAATTAATTCCCTATTTCCATTTAAGTTGTTTTTGAATCATTATTCTAGCAAAATAAAATTGTGTGACAAAAAAAAAGTAAAACTCGCGAAGAAGAATATTTGTGCATATATGTATTCTTCGCGCGAAATTGCTTTTTCTTTTTTGTTAACATTTTTATTTCTTTATTTTTAGTAAGTCGCCAGAAGACTGCGGGGAGAATTTCGTGATAAATTGAAGAATAAACAAAAAGAAAGAAAAAAGGTACGAAGAAGCTTCCCACTTCATTAATTTATTTCTCTTGCCATCTTCCCATTGTATAAATGGATTTGAATACCTCGCCAAAACTCAGAATACTTGACAGTGATTAAACGAAAAGACTCCTTGTTTTGTTAAGCGATTATGGATTACAGAGCTTACCAAAGAAATTAAAGCTCAGTTAATTGTTCAGTGTATTGTTTATAGAAAATAAATTAGTAAATGTTCATGTTTTGAAAGATCGTGGTTTTGGTTTCACTCTATTTTAATCTTAAATGTGAACCTTTTATTATGATTATCTTTTAACTAGTTTCGCTTAAAAAGGAGCAAAATTCAGAATTTTTACAACTCGAGTGATTTATGTTGAAATATTATTTTAAAATACAGAGTTCTACGCTTGAAATGTATTTTTCGTTTTAGATTTACGTTTCAGTTACAACGTTCAGCATTGAAAAGCAATGTCTAGCATAAAACGGGGAAATATAGAAATTAATTTTTAGGTCAATTTTCTCTAGTGTTTATTGTTAACATATATAAGAAAACTGGTACATTGATAGCAATTGTATGTATTTTTTTCTGTTTCTACCATCAGCTTTGCTAATTTAAAAATCTTCTAAATTTAAGCTACATTCATAAAATACCATCAAATGCAATGAATGTTATATATGTGAGCAAAAGATAGTTAAAAAAATTCTTTGGAAAGAAATTCAAAAACACCCATAACACAAGTAATATTAAAAACAAATTAAGTCAATTCCTACTTAGGTCAACAAAGCAAATTTTTATTTTAGTTACTTTTTATTAAATAGTTACAATTAATATAAATATGAATATACGTATGACATATAATTACAATATTAAGTGAGAAAATAGATAGCGATTTTCCTTGCAATTTTCCGTTCTCCTTTTTACATATGGTGTTGGAATATTTTTACTTGTTTGTTACTATTTATTCATTAATTAAACATAATTATTCTAATAAGATAGTATAGTAAAAAAGAAATAACATTTTCAGAAATTAGGCCATCCCAGATGAGATTCGACACCACGACCTTTGGATTAGAAGTTTAACGCGCTATCCATTGCGTTACACAACGAACAATTTTACTTTCTATTTATGCTGTTGGATTATTACTTTTTTTGTTACTATTTATTCATTTTTTAATTTAATTAATGAATTAATATTTGAAAAAACTGTAGTAACGTCAAGCGTCAGCCACTACAAGTTGAAAAAAATGTTTTTAAACTTGAATGGATGAATAGAAAGCAGTGGCACACACAAGGGGGTGGTCCTGGGAGTCTGCCCCCCCAAAGCCCTTGATTTTTTTCCGATTGATTATAATTCTAAGTATATAGTACGTAAAATTTAATTAAGTATTTGTTATTAATGATTAATTTTATTAATTAATGCTAATTGTTTATTCAATAATTAGTTTTTTATTGTGTTTTGTTCCCAAAAATCAACAAAATCAAAAGGAATGGTGAACTTTCGACCCCAGACCCTCCCCCTTTGAAAAATTCCTGTGTGCGTTACTGATAGAAAGTATATTTTATTACCGATTGAAAATTTGAACAAGATATATATATATATAGAGAGAGAGAGAGTGTGAACTATATATATATATATATATATATATATATATATATATATATATATATATAATATTATATTAGGAATTAAAAAATGAACAAATAATTTATAAAAAACAACAGTCCAATAATAAAGGACATTGAAAACTGGAACGAGGAATTGAAATTTAAAGTAGCACATCTCTCTCTTTCTCTCACTTAAATAGATATAAAAATTTCATTTTTAATTTTATTTTAGAGGTATCCAAATACATTAAAAGGACCTATTTTGATCAAAACACACATTTCTATTTCTATTTTTATTTTATTAAATAAATCAATCTTTTGGCTATACAAATCATACATTATTTTACGCTACATAGAGGCTGAGTTACACTAATTTACATAAAATTAGAAAAATCGCGGAAGTGGGTCTAATCTACCTGAAGTGAGGATTTAAATTGTTCAAAATATGTCTTGGTGAGCCTGATAACTCAAAATATTATAAATATATTTCAATGAAACTTTTTGAACCTAATATTTATATTATATTCTAGGGAATGTACTACAATAATTCTTATTGTATGAAAATTTTTTGAGTTATCATGTTTTATTTCAGTATCGCCTCATAAAAATATGCCACATTTCTTATAATATTTATTCGATCACCTCTAAAATTTTTATATTTTAATACGATATTAAATTTCTAGTTTTCACCCTAGATAAATGCATGCAGTTTGTTTTACTAATACTTTTATTGAAATAAGTTTATTATTTTTTTCTCTGACTGTGACTGTTTTAAAAAATTGATAAGATGTCACATATAATTTTGATTTTTGCAAAATTTAAATAATTTTTTAAATAATTTTTAACATTGCTGTGTGTGGGGGGATAATGTATTAATATATATTGGAATTATTCCTAAAAATTATTTAGAGTGTTTTTGTACGCTATTTACAAAAAAAAAAAAAAAAGTACTCTGAACGTGTTCGGGTACCCTTATAAAGGAATAATAACAAAAAATTCTAAGTCATCTTGAAATAAAAAAAACACACTTAATTTTCTATCATTTAATACAGTTCAAGGTTACGTATAATTTCACTGGCTAATCGAGATAAATTAAAATATTCTTAGAGTAAAACTGCATATACTCTGCATAGTAAAGCTCCGTTTCTGCAAATTCATATTTAAAAGGATTACATCACTAGAAAGTTATCCAGAAGATTTACCTTTTTCTATCTCTTTTTTTGGCTAAAATTAAAAGGGGGAATATATTCCTCTCAGAACTCTTCTTTCTATCATGAAATAGTGCAGAGAACAGCAGCTAAAGAGGGGAAGTAAAAAAAAAAAGAACGTTTATACCGTGCAATAATTCAGATTTTCCACCTGTCCATATTAAACAGGGAACTCGGGGAGGAAATAAAAGCCACCTGAAGTATTGATTACTTGCAACGGGGAGTAAGGAGGAAATACATGCATAATCCTAAGCCACTTTAATGTCTTAATCCATAATGCTACATCAAAGTATCTCTTCAAGTACTCTACTGTTATTTGCTGTCTTTTATAAAAAAACTGAATGATCTACAAAATGAAAGAAACAATTTCACTCCATCAGTTGAGACATTGACAATGTTTGCAAAGGACTTAATTATTTCAGCGGATTTGCTTATTTTTTCCTTTTCTTCCTCTCCTCCCACAAATACATTACATACATACATTACGTGGAAAACGATGGCATTCGGAGCGAATCTCGTAACTTTTAACCGGAAGTTAAGGGATTAATTATAAACTGTACAAATTATCAAGATGAGTGTTAATTTCTGTATATAATTATATATATGACAAGCCCATGGGATCCCTGATAATTATTAAATTCATTCTTAATTTATACTATTGATAAACTAATTATAAAATACAATGAGTATTACTGATACATTTATAAGTGTATTGCATCAGTGTAAATGTGCATTTTATTCATTATTATTATGTCAGAATGTATTTTGTTGTTTAATTTAGGTAAATTAATATTTTTTAAAAAAATTACCGTTTGTTTTCGATTTTTTATTATGCTCGCGCCCCCTTTTAGAGTTATCTCGCCTCCTTGGGGGGGGCACAATTTGAGACGCTGTATTAGAGCCTTTCTTATGTTAACTGTTATATTCATCAAGAACAAAATTGTCCCTGTAAGTCGTGTGTTCGAGCTCTAGAGTCACAGAAGACCGACCAGGCTGATACACTTTAAATCTGCCTAGGCTCAAAATCCTCACGTTGGTATGGTGCAGAAGCTTGGAGAGCAGAGCACAAGCTCAGGTGTCCTTCTCGTCACTCGTCTTACAACTACGAGGTTTATTGCCAATAGGTATCATTATACTTCAAACAGTAAAGGTTGACAAACAGTGAAGGAATCAATCTTGTGTTTGTCATAAATAATCAAACAAAGCAAATGTAACATAAATTTGCAGTCATGATCTTTTGGATAATCCAGAAATCTTAGGATTTGATAGCTTAATTCTTTGATCTAATTTTGGTAAGAAAGTTTTCCTTAATTTCTCTGGATGATAAATAAACTTAAACGTATAAAATACTTTTTTAAATTTCAAGCTATAGCCTTAGCTTTACTTGTATATTGGATTAAAGGTAAGTAAAATTTTAAATAAAAGATGTAAAACATTATGATGCAAACAAGATGTGAGCCTTGACGAATTTTAAAAAAAATAATGGTCTTATCGAAAAATAGTTCCTAATACACTCATGTCCATAAATTAAGGATAATGAAGTTCAGGCAAAGAATGAGACAGAAGCAAAACAAATTTGATTTATTTGTAAAGTCTATTTATTAAACAAAAGGTA